TCACCTTCAGACAGTGAAGAGATCCTGTGTGTATGCAAGATGAAAACAGATACAGCAGAGTACTATCTATTAATCACCCTCACACTAACACACACATATAATACTCTTAGTTTATGGGGAGATTATAATGTGATAAAAGTAGTCACAGCAAATCTAATTGTCTTCTTCAATGAATCTACTATGCACAAATAGCAATAGTACATATACAACAGTCCTAGATCTCTCTAAGTCTCAAAGCTTTTTGTTTTGTCAAAACAAGAGGTGGCAACAAATGTTGCTGAGTCTAAGGCAAAGAGGTACTACAGCTCAATACAATACATCAAAACAATCCTGCAAAACTCTCAAAAGGTCTAAAGCATAGCTCAGATCAAATTAAAATCCCTAACACACACAATACACAACTCAAAGCTTAGCACTCTAAGCAGAAACTAATCACAAACATGTTCACAAGTATCAAAGAGCTCAGATCTCTGTATACAAGTTTTCAAACTGATTGTAGACTCACAGGATTCAAACCTATGCAATCCAGAGACACAAAACACAGTAAACACTATCCAACAGACAAGAGAGTTTAAACCTCTGTCATCTGTAGTGCTGCACATCACCAATATCTCAAAAACTCAAGATGATGCTCTTCAGACACCACTCTCTTATTCTCAGGTTAGAGTGCAATCTAAAACCTTTTATCAATTTGGACTCAAGTTCCTTATGAGCTTCTATATCTTACTTAGTTCTCAAATCTCTCTCAATAATATCAATAATAAGTTTATTCTCTTGCTTAAAGTTACAAACACAAATCTAGAGCTAGAGTGCAAGGCTTTCTGTGCTCTATACACTACAACTGTGGGGGGTCAGCAACTTGTCTACTACTCTTACAATGCAGTACTTAAATAGTTTACTACTGTATTTACTAAGATACACTAAATATAGTAGTTTCAAAATGTGAGACTCTGTTTCAGAGTTCTCAGCATATTATTCATATGCATGTCACAGTCACCATGCTTATTCTGTTTCAGATCAGGACTATGCTTGCTGTTTTCTATCTAGCTGACATTGGTTAGCTAATATAGGCAGATTTGCTCACTTTCTTATTTTTTCAGTGAGGCATTCTGATATCAGAGAACTGTTTTAGGTCTCTGAAGTTATCTCTTATGTCTGAAGTCAGCTACAATGATTATGTTCTCTTTTTCAGTGTTCTGACATTCTGTTTGACTCACAATATGTGCTACTTCTAGTCTAGCATGCATCAATTAATTCACTTAATGGATATGTGTCATACCTCAGTATGATGTGGAGTCTCTCATTATTTTATGCATACTAAGGCACTGTAAGTACATGCACAAGTCTCTGAGCATTATATGCACTGTTCACTCTTTAGTAGTATTTCTTAATTCATTACTTTATTATCATTATCTTATTTCTCTGTTTAACATCTAGTTATTCAGATACCTTTCTTTGGGTCTCAGTTCTCCATTCTAAGGTGTGTCCCATCAGTATATCAATGGATGTGCATCCTTGATCTATGTGATTAGAATTGCTGATTATATTTTGATCATACTTTTTTTATTTTTAGCATGTCTTCTTATAATGATATTAGCATGTTTAAAGCTAAATGCTGGAACCTCATATGCAGTCTAACCCTTCTGGTATTAGTCTATCACTAGGCTATCCACTCTGCTTATTGTGACTTTAGTTTAGCATCATAATGGCTATGTTTCTTTATGCTCTAGCCTTATTTTCAGTTGCATGCTTAGTGGACTGGAATATAATCCATGTATTCTCAAATTTCACAAATTTACATGCCTGAATATGAAGAGAGTGTGTCAACAGATGGACAGATGGAACAGATCAATCAAGAGATAAAAAAATGTCTGATGATATTCATTAATTATAGACAGGACAGTTGGATGGAATGACTTGCATTAGCAGCATTCCAACACAACAATTGAGTACACTCAGCAATGGGCAAAACATCATTCTTTGTAAATAATAATTAACACCTGCATGTGGCTACAACTGAACAGCATTACACCTTAACCCCTGCATTCTCTAACTTTATGACTCTTATGGCTTCTATTTATAATAAAATGCATACTATATTAGAAAAGACCATGTCCACTATAAAAGCATAATATGATAAGCATCAACACTCAGCATGCAAATACTCAGTCAATGATAAAGTCTGGCTTAACATCACAAACCTTTACTTCTCTTGACTAAAACATAAACTAGCCAACAAGCACACTGGACTATTTCTAATACTCACCAAAGTTGATGCCTCTATCTATCATCTCCACTTACCAGATGCTTGATGTGTCCATCCTGTTTTCAATGAATCTCATTCAATTCTCTATATTGCTTCTACTTTTTCTAATTGGAAAAAACCATCACTACTAGAACCCATATTAATCAACAATAAAGAATATTATGCAGTCAATTAAATTCTTCATTATAAGATGCATAAGATTAGAGCATATAATGACAGTACATGCATAACTATTGATTATTTCATCAGTTGGAAAGGATATGGTTCAGAGTCAAATCAATAGGTCAATGAGCATCATATGAATGCTAATGATGCTATTTGGAACTATTAACTCTTTCTAGAATAATCCATTGAAATGATAGTCTTAATAAGAGGTAATGTTATAATTTTTTATTTTTCCACTTATCTTTTATCTTATCTTATCAGTACATCTATATAATCACAGGTGCCTACAGAATGAGCATGAAATAATTATACAACCACAATAGATAACTCACACTATTGTTCTGCAGACAGCAATAAATATCTCATCAACAGATAATACTTTATTATTTCATCTCCAACAACCAGAGGTGACAAGAACTATAGCATAGAGACACACAATTATTAGAACTATATTTATCATAGGACAAAACAATATATAAGTAGCATAGCTCTTACTATAGATATTCAGCTTCAAGCTAAAGTTTATTCTATACCATCTTTTCTTAAGCCTAACTTGTCCACATCCTTGAAGCACAACATCTATATAATACATTCAATGAACTCTGACATGACTGTATGAACTCAATATAGCATCAGTTTATCATATGTTCAGATTATATGCCACTTAGATCTAACAGTTGCTTAAAATGACATCAGAAGATAATATATTAATAGGATATAAAGAAATAGTATCCTCAGCTCTATCCTTAAGTGCTATCAGCCTGGAAACTTTGAATGATCTAGAGCAAAATGCAGAAGCACTTCAGAACTTCACTCATCTTGTTTTTTTTCTAATAATAGTCAGGGTCAAAATAAATAGACAAAAAGAACAAGTGCTTTTTAATAGTAGATCATTAGAGGATTTCATATCTATGATATTAGCTGATCAGCTTAAAATCAAGAAGATAGTGCTAAAAAAACCTGTCATTTTGCATCTAGCTATACAGAGCTTAAAGTCTCATATAAATTTTAAGGCAAAAGCAACATTAACAGTTCAAAACATCTATGATGGATAATGATATTTTGACATTTGTAATCTGTCTCAGTATGATATCATTCTGCATACCCCTTTTCTGTTTTAATATCAGATTTTATTTAGATTGAATTTAGCACACATATATATTGGTGGTTTGGTGCCACTGTTTATTAAAGAGAAAAACATTAATGAATTGTCATTCTAAACAATAAAAATTGCTGAAAACCATATAGCTAAGATCTAGTGTTAAATAATAGACTATGCTAGGAATGCCAGACTATTTGAAGATGCTATCAAATCACCACTATCACCCTTTCAGACTATTAATCACTCTATACCTCTAAAGAATGAGGATAAGATATATCATTAGCACTTATTATGATGCTCTGTCACCTCTTCTACAACAATGGATACAGAAGAAAACTGATTACTTAAGGATAGGCTGATAGCAGGTCACTATGTCAAGGAACACAATCTCTATATTGTATATTTATAAACCTCATAGATAAAAGAATATGCCTGAGATTTATACTGTCTTTGATCTTCATAAATGAAATATAAATGTTTAAGATGATAGCCTCACTATTTACAATAGATGATATACTACACTAGATGGCAAATCATCAGTGATACTTCATCTTTGATCTGCAGGCAGCATATAAGCAGATTCATGTTATATTAAAACATGTATTCCACACAGCTGTAATAACACTAAATAGAAATATAGTTAGTCTGATAATGAAGCAGAGAGACTGCAATGCACCAGCTATATGCTAAATCCTGATGAATCACCTGTTTTCAGCTTATCTAGAGGTATTCATTGATGCCTACTTAAATAATATCATGATATATTCTGACTCCTTGAAGGCTCATATAGATCACTATAAAATCATTTTTGATATTCTTTATCATGAATGGCTGAATCTATCTGAGAAAAAATGTTATGTTCTAGCTGCTGAAATCACTATCCTTGGCTATATCATAGATTACAAGAGTATTTGAATGGATTCTGTAAAGGTGAATACTGTAGTCACATGAAAGATTTCAACTAATCAGAACCTCTTGCATGCCTTCTTAGAATCAGTGGAATACTTTGCTGATAATGTGGTGAACATGTGAATACCTATAAGAATATTATATAGGTGAACAGGAAATACTGTACCTTTTCACTGGACTATGATCTATCAGCATGCATTTGATGAAGTCAAGAAATATATATAAGTTTTCTATGACCATCATTAAGTATCACTCAACTATGATAAAGATATTTCTATCATCAATCTGATAATAAATATGAGCACTACTAGCATTTTAAGTGTTGTGAGCCAAGGAGATGACTGGTGAACAGTAAGCATAGCTGCTTTTTTCTTAGCAAAGTTGAAGCTGACATAGCAAAAATATGTTATACATGAGCTGGAAATGTTTACAGGCATAGAAACTATAAGATATTATTGAGATATTCTGTTAGAATGCCACTTCATATAGTACACAGACCAGAAGGACCTTATCTATCTCTTGCATTAGAAGAATCTGTCAGGCTGACAGGCTCACTGAATGAAGCTTATCTTCAATTATGATTTTGATATAGTCTATGTGCTTAGAGTTGAGAACATGCTGAGTGATGCATTATCCTGCTTATATTCTAATGATGATGTTGATACTATATATATAGCATCAGAATTTTTGATCTATGATGAAGATTATCCATTTATAAAAGACAACAAGAACTTGACTGCTTCTCTTTTAGTTGGACTTGAAGCAAATGCAGTATAGGTTATCACAGCTGCAAATGATTCTTTATCTAATCTGTCTCACAAACTTTGCAAAAATGAGTCAGCCATAGCATTCACAAGACATATGGCTGTAAAGATTCATATTCTTGGTCTATGAAATGGCTATAGTCCTGTTGAGCTCAGTAACAATGATAAAATGGGTGATATGGCAATGATAAATAGAATGTTACATCTGAATCACCTACTAATGACAATAAAATTCATCTTATAAGAGCAAATGATCAGTCTGATCCAGCTACAGCCTCTGAGTCCCACACTCTGATACTGAGTGACACTATACTTGGCAAGATGTTGGATCTATCTCTGGTTGCTCTACTATCCTCTCAGTTGCTCTCTAATGAATTCTATACTGCAATACATGTTTTTAATAGTGATGACCCTATGCTATCAGAAATTATCTTTTCTCTAAATAAATTCAAGAACTTCTCTCTCAAATATGAGATCTTATTCCTGTGATCTGAAAGATGAGACTTGCTTTGTATCTCTCAGAAAGCTAAAATGAATGGCAGAATGATTAGAAAACTGGTGATCAGTGAGGGTCACTTTCTATTGGCACACTTGGATGCTGATAAAACTGTGACTTACCTCTGTGATCATGGCTAGTGAAAAATGTTAGTAGAGATGTTTATGACTTCTGTCTATCTTGCTAGATCTGCAAATAGTCAAAGTCATCTAATCAATGTTTTTTTGATCATCTGAATCCACTACAAGTATCTAATCAACCTTGGCAGATGATTGGTGTTAACTTTGTGAACTCTTTCCTTGAATTGTTTAATAGAGATAGTGTGTTTAACTTTATAACTGTTATAATTGATGTTCTTTCATCAATGGTCTATTTTATACTTAGCTGAACAGACTATATGACATCCCAAGTGACTGAACTAATATTCAATAATGTGTTCAAGCTACATGGATTGCTTGAACATATCATTTCCAATCATAATGTTCTCTTTACAAATAAATTTTGGATCTTGCTTCACAGTCTCATGAGTGTAAGCTTGAAAATGTTAAGCTTTTAGCATCTTCAGACTGATGGCTTCATAGAACATACCAACTAAACTGTGACACAAATGATTCAGTCATGCATATCTCCTAATCAGAAAGATTGAGTGCTATACTTGTCTGGCATTGAGTTCACCATTAACTCATCAAGTTCTGAATCAATGAGATTTGCATCTTTTTTTGTCAACTATAGGCAGATATCTTGCACATTTGTATGATCTGCTCTTTTGAATGATATGTGTATCCTCATGTTCACAAATTTGTCATACAGATAAAGCACATTGTTTTTGCTGCTCATATCAAGCAGACTCAGAATGCAAATCATCACTACCACCCTTCTCCATTTACCACAGATGACTTGGCCTATATTTCAACACAGAACTTAACATTGCTGAAAGATCTGGGCTGTAAATTAGCTCTAAAATTCATTGACCTTTATCAACTACTGTCATATTTTGGCAATAACTCCTTTGAGATTGATCTATCTCCTGAACTGAAGCATCATAGTGTCCACTCAGTCTTTCATTTTTTATTGCTATATATCCATATACTCAATGATGATACATTATTTTTTAATCATACTGATATGACAATTAGTCTGACTGAGAATAATGATGCTATAGAGTGGCAATTGAACTGCTTTCTAGCTTACAAGAGCAGAAGAGAATAGAGCCTCTTTCAGGCTGAATGGTTATCTAGTGATATCACCTGGCTGCCTGTTGCTGAAGCTGAGAAATTCTCTATAACCAGTCTGTAGACTTGTGTGGAGAGTATATTAAAGGATTACCATATGGTGATGTTTGAGAGAGTTCTGGATATAGACTGGACAGGATGAGAAAGAAGATGTATCAGTAAAGGAGATTGTGGATGCTGAAGCTAGAAAAGGATCATCTAGCTGTTATTGTGTCTGGCTTCAAGATTATAATATTTATCATTCTATTTATGTCTTTAACAGCTTTTAACCATGCAGCAGAGAAGAGAAACTTGCAGAATGTTCATGAGTATAAGTGATCAGAAAGGCTTCAATAGTAGCAGATGATATAAGACAATGACTGAGATCTTGAGTGTGATAGATCTCTCAATGAGTGAGGAAGTGAGGCTAGAAAACATTGAGAATTGAACAGGATATAGTCAAAAACATACTCAATAATAAGTAGAATACAGTTGATGTCTTTTAGTTTGTGTGAAAGAATTTTGGTGACACTGATCAGACATTAGTTTATTATTTCAGACTCAATGAAGGACTCTACCAAGTAATAGTCTAATCTTAATGATATATAGATATTGAAAACACATTTACATTGTCTTATTTTTCTGCCAGCTAAAGAGAAGCAATGTTTTTATAATATTGCATACAGTTTTAATAAAAGGAATAGATGTTGAGGCAGCAGTATCTTGCTTGATATTAGAATGCATGCTCATGTCTGATAAGCTGCAGTACCTTTGACAGCCAGGACAGTTATTAATCATTTAATATCTAATCCATTGATTGGTATTAATGTTCTGAACCTGAGTATTCACAACTCTTACATGACACCTAGAGAATCATGATCAGAATAAAGATGTGCAGATTTTTCAGTATAGTTTTCTTATAATGATTTCCACCACCTATTCTGAGATAGTAGTTGCTGAAAAAAAGCATCATAGTACATGTAAAAGTAATAAAAGGTGGCTTATTTTCTCTCTCTCTTTATTGTTCAAATACAGTCTTGAATACTATTTTCCAATTACACAACTCTAACTTCATAGCTACTTCACTAACTCTAGTGAGTTTCCAGTAATTTCTATCTATCATATCATGCAGTCTTAATTCATAATATTCTTATGGTCAACTATCAGATCTCTCACTATATATTTCAAACTCTTTATGTTGAAACCATTTTCCAAGATCCATGAGAAGTGGGATGATGTCAAACTTGAGTCAAAACCACAAAAAGTTCATCATGATGCCAAATTTTTCTAACCTTATAAAAAGAAGATAACCAAATTCTTCATATCTTTGAAATTCTGAAAGTGATAGACAGTGAGAAATTGCTTTTGTTAAAAGACAATGCTATGTATTCAGACAAGTGCACTGACAAGTAATCTTGCTAGAAGTTCATGCAGAAGTGGTGAAAACAGATAATAAATTGGCAGAAATCATCAAGAAAGCTATCAAAAAAGCATGAATAGTATATTGTATATTTTCTACTTATCAAAATCAGCATTTTAACTGTGATTCAATAAGCAAAAGGTGGAAAAAAGGTGGATATTGAATGAGTAATTCAGTATATCTCTGATTGACATTTATTTTTATATAATTTACCTCATGCTTACAGTAACATATGAACTACACATCTTGAAAAGCATTTTTTTCTCAAGTTTTTTTTGAGATTATTGTATAATAGAATAGTACAGTTAGTATGTATACAATGATATTTTTAATGCATCTTTTAAGGCCAAATGTCATAAGATAGACAACTGTGATTCTAGAGCATACTCAAATAGCCTAAAGCAAAGATAGAAAGAAGCCTCTGATATGCCACAAAAACTTGTCAACAATCTGGAATCAAAATGCTAAAAGATGTCTATTAATACTTGACAATTCAATTTTACAGATCAAAGAGTCTATACAGCATTTAAATATCTACCATGAGAACTTTCATTAAATTCAGGTTTATCAGGCATTAATTGCTTCCATTGATGTTTAGATTTGGTAACTCTCATTTTGAAAAGATAGTGTGAGTGAGAAAATTGTGATCAGAAAGATTGCATACCATTGGATACACTATAAAGTGTGTGTGCTTTGACAATAGCATTATTGACAGTGAATTTAAAAGAAGTTAAGAAAAATAAGAAAAATCTCAGATGTTTATATATACATCTCTGGCTCTACATACCTATAGAGACATTAAAGATTTGTATTCTACTAAAAGAAATATCATAAGAAAAGGACTCAAGGAATGATAATAAAAAAAAAGTTTACTTTGATTGTCTTCTCTTTCTTAGTCTAGTCTACATATATATATATTGTTGCTGTGATCATTTCAAAGGCAACAGCAATAAAACAGATGTAAATGATGGATAAGATATCAAAGATTCACTCATCATTCAGAGAAGCACTTTATATCTTCAACAGTAGTTAAAAAATTATCAATCATCAAACTTGCTCTGAAAACATACTCAAATAAATATATTTTGAGTCATGAGACTACAACATGTTAAAGACATGCACAGAATACTTGTTATATGAGGTGATAAGTATCATAATCTTAATATCTGATATAGTGTATAAATGATCATTAAGATTATAATAATAAGTAAACAGAAGCAAGAAAGAGAGAAGAGCAAATAAGAAAAATAGATTGGAATAAGACATTCTCAATATTTTTGAGAAAGACTCTAAAGTAAAAAAGATGTCTGTTTGCAGATCCAAAATAAGTTCACTCACTTGCTGAGTGATTTATTTATTATGATCTTTCTTCTGAGCTTTAGTATTCTTAATCTTCTCTCTGAACAATGTATGCATACTCTCTAACAACATCTTCACTTTTTAGTGTCAATACTGCAGGCTCACTCAACTGCCTAATTATATGAATATTATTGTGTAGTACATAGGTCTCTGTCTTAATAACACAGAACATATACAGCATCTTGCTAGAGATGGTTTCAGCATCTACTTGGAATATATCAATCAAATATTGATTGTTTGATGTTTAAGCTAAGTATATACTTTTAAGTAAAGCTATGAATAATATCAATCTTAGAATGGAAAAGCATATAGGCTATAAAAAAATAAATAATACTATGCAGACAAGAAATAGTTTTTTGCAGATGCCACAAAAAACTATATGCCACTAGCTCTATATTATATTTATGCAATTTTTGTTAAAGAATATCCATATGTTATACTCTTAAGATCTTACTTTTATTTATTATATATATATTACTTCTGTTGTTATTCAATCACCTTTATAGACTAGCTATAAATATCTGGAT